GCTATACATATGGTGTGTATAGACAAGTGTAGGCTATACATATGGTGTGTATAGACAAATGTAGGCCATACATATGGTGTGTATAGACCAGTGTAGGCTATACATATGGTGTGTATAGACCAGTGTAGGCTATACTTATGGTGTGTATAGACCAGTGTAGGCTATGCATATGGTGTGTGTAGACAAGTGTAGGCTGTACATATGGTGTGTATAGACAAGTGTAGGCTATACATATGGTGTTTATAGACAAGTGTAGGCTATACATATGGTGTGTATAGACCAGTGTAGGCTATACATATGGTTTGTATAGACAAGTGTAGGCTATACATATGGTGTTTATAGACAAGTGTAGGCTATACATATGGTTTGTATAGACAAGTGTAGGGTATGCATATGGTGTGTATAGACAAGTGTAGGCTATCTATATGGTGTGTATAGACAAGTGTAGGCTATATATATGGTGTGTATAGACAAGTGTAGGCTATCTATATGGTGTGTATAGACAAGTGTAGGCTATATATATGGGGTGTATAGACAAGTGTAGGCTATACATATGGGGTGTATAGACCAGTATAGGCTATACATATGTTGTGTTTAGACAAGTGTAGGCTATACATATGGTGTCTATAGACAAGTGTAGGCTATACATATGGTTTGTATAGACAAGTGTAGGCTATACATATAGGTTTTTATAGACCATTGTGGCTATAGTCTACATCATGTTTTAGACGTATAAATTATACTATTGTAATTATATTTGTACATATATTCTATCTTCCATAGCGTGGTAAGGTGTTATGTTATATTTTCAATAGAATAGTCGACATCATGTTATAGATGTATACATTATACCATTTTAATTATATCAGTACATGTATACAGCTGTAGTTATATAGCTATTCAACTGTAACATAGCTATATAAATTTGTAACGAGAATAAGAAAATCCATTTAAGACTATAGTACGAAGCGGGACATAATTTGTTATGTTTTGTTTTGATTCTGTTTCTACGGTCACCTGCAATTATATAACTATTATTGTATAACAATACACAAGTAATAATATAACTATTATTATATAACTATACACCTGTAATAATATAACTTAACAAAGTTATTATATAACTCTACACCTGTACTAATATAACCTTACACCTGTAATAGTATTACTATAAACCTGTTACAATAAAACTATACACATATAATACTATAAGTATTCACCTTTAAAAATATTACAATACACCTGTAATTATTGAACTATACATCTGTAATTATATAACTTTACACCTGTAATAACACACCTGTAATAACATACCTACACACCTGTAATTATTGAACTATGTGTCTGTAATTATATAAATATACACCTGTAATAACACACCTGTAATTATATAACCCTACACCTGTAATAACACACCTGTCATAACATACCTATACACCTGTAATAACACACCTGTAATTTTATAAATATACACCTGTAATAACATACCTATACACCTGTAATAACACACCTGTAATTATATAACCCTACACCTGTAATAACCCACCTGTAACCATACCTAAACCTGTAATTATATATAACCCTGCGCCTGTAATAACACACCTGTAATTATATATAACCCTACACCTGTAATAACACACCTGTAATTATATATAACCCTACACCTGTAATAACACACCTGTAATTCTATATAACCCTAGACCTGTAATAACACACCCGTACTTACATACCTATAAACCTGTAATTATATATAACCCTACACCTGTAATAACACACCTGTAATTATATATAACCCTACACCTGTAATAACACACCTGTAATTACATGCCTATACACCTGTAATAACACACCTGTAATAACATAATATACACCTGTAATAACATATCTATACACCTGTTATAACACACCTGTAATTATATAACTCTACACCTGTAATAACACACCTGTAATTACATACCTATAACCTGTTATTATATATAACTCTACCCCTGTAATAACACACCTGTAATTACATGCCTATACACCTGTAATAACACACCTGTAATTACATACCTATAACCTGTTATTATATGACTCTACACCTGTAATAACACACCTGTAATTACATACCTGTACACCTGTAATTATAATTACCTGTCTGTTTACAGGACATGATACTAGTAGCCTGTGGACGACCAGGATTCTATATACTGACCACTCTACAGTTTCTGTACCCTCTTATAGGTTTGGATTTTTTTCTTACATTTTCAAACGTTGTTTGAATTAAAAATCAACAAAATAGTTGAATAAGTATTTTGATACAAAAATATATCACATATTTTTTTCATTAACTCATTATAAAATATTCAAAATCAGTACATGTAGTGAAATGATCGGACTTCAGGTGCTATTCGCCCTAAAGTTGCGTACATTTATTTTCAGAAAAAAACATTCTAGAAAATTGTAAATATTGTTTATGAATAGAAAGCCACTTGTTTCATGAATTGATGACAAGTTTTGAAATCTATACAATGATGTATACGGTGATACCCCAAATTACTATATGCAAGGGATGAAGATATCTAAGGGAGATAATTCTTGAACCAAATTACAGGTATGTTATGTAAGCTGATATGTATCATTAAATGAACGCGCTTATCAGCAGTCTAAGGACAGCACAATTCACAATTTTATTATAATTTTTCTGGTAGTATAAAAATAAATGTGTTTTTTAAAATTTTATTCCAGCAATGATAAGCTACCAAGTCATTATAGGAGATACAATCACAAAAGTTATAATAAGCATAGGCGGAGAAGGTAAGTAATATATATACATGTATCTATATACAAAAAAGGTCATGCACAGATATACGTCCATATATAATTTAATCACGAGCCTGTGACAACAGGTGCGCGCAGTTATCCCACAACTATTCGTGTATGTATGTACATGAGTACTTTTGCTGTTATCTCGAAATGTACATCCTGTTGATTATATTACATTATCTACAGCGTTCAACGAAAGTCAGAATTCTCTGCCCAATTAATGTCGCGCAAAACATTATGGTTAACCAATAACCAATAACGAATTGATCACGTGATGTTTTGAAACGTTGCTTTTAACTTAACTGATTGAAATTGTTTTTTTTTTTAATTTTCTCGACCATTTTCCAGAACATTGTAAGATTTGTTTTCTAAAGAATATGCCGGTATTCCTCAACGCTTCGCTCATCCTAAAGCTATCATCTTCATCACATTTCTTTTTTAAAGTGCATATTTTCACTTCACAAATACTCGCTCAAATATCCTGGTGATTGGTTCTCTTTCCAAACACAATATGTATACATCTTGTGGTAAGTCAATATATTTATCCGAGAATTTATTTATTTGACACAGTGTACAATTTATATATTTGACACAGTGTACAATTTACAAATTTGCTTGTTCATGTTTCACTATACCATTTCATGCTACCCTTTCCGATAAATGGTCCTTCTATGTTTCCACATTACCTTATTGGTTCACTGTCGAATATATCTCTAGTTCCTCAGCTAAACCCTTAGAGTCAGTTTCTAAGTACACTGATTTCCTTAGCTTTCGCTTTTAAAAAACTTTTTTTTTCTTTCTTTTCTCTTTTTTTTTTCACTTGCGTCTCGACATTTTACGTGAACTTTGATATAACATGATATTTCTAAGTCTAAAATTTTCGGTTCATGACAATGTTTTATATAACGTTAAACACATATACAACTTCATTTCCTCACTCCGTAAATGTGAACAGTATTAAATAGAACGTAGTAATTTAAAAATAAGATGGAATTAATGTTTAAGGTTGAATCATGATTTTCTTTGTTTTTATTTATTCATTCAAGAAATAAAGCCGACTCCCATTACAGTCTGGGATGTATAAAATACAATTTGTAGGGAGGTCCAAGGTTTGGTTTGTTTTCAGGGCTTTCTGTTGTTCATTGGCAGGTAGACATTTCAGACGCCAGATAGTATTTCCCGTTAACTTTGTCGTGTCAAAACACGTGTCAGATAAACAGGTCCTTTCGGGCCCAAGAGTCAAAGATTATTTTTTGGAGTCAGAAACATACTTTTATTGGGCTACTAAAAGCAATGGTGTACTAACTTTGATACTCCAGATTATTTAGTTTTTTGTTAGTGTTTTCAATGATGTCCATGCTAGTAGTGTTTTACAAATGAAGGTAATAACCTCTGCCCGTGAACCTGATGAACATTCTCCATTAAACGATTTGTTTCCTTTCAGACGCGTTAGGTGATACCATTCTAGCCAACAGACAGTTTATAATTTTCCTGTCCACATTGCTCGTCACCTTACCGCTGTCACTTTATCGAGATATAGCCAAACTTAGTAAGGTAAGTATACGTCATAGAGGTATAGGTAAATTCAGTAAGGTAAGTATACGTCATACAGGTATAGCTTAACTTAGTAAGGAAAGTATACGTCGTACATATTTGTACAGGTATATGTAAACTTAGTAAGATAAGTAGACGTCATACAGGTATAGCTAAACTTAGTAAGTATACGTCATACATGTATAGCTAAACGTAGTAAGGTGAGCAAACGTCATAATGCTGATAGGTTATTTCGACTCTTTCAAATGACCATTGTATGACCCAATCATCAGCCGGCGTACACATGTTGATGCTTAAAGCAACTATTGGCATTGATGACTCGGAATGTCTTTTTTCGGGTTTATATAGTTCGTAAATATTGCATTTGCAAATCATATAACTTGATTTGAAAAGTTGCATTTGTAACATGTAAGATGTTTTCTCAATGAGTTAGTTAACTCGGAAATCATGTATTTGTAATTTGTTAGGTTGCACTGTATCATGACAATTGTCATTTCAAAGAATGTGTAATGACTTATTATTCCTTTTACAATGGTAAAATATCGGTATTAAGCCTTCTGTTTTATTTTGCTACATGTAGTAACGTATTTCAATATAATTGCATGCCTTTTTCTTACAAATTTAAAAAGTTAAGTGTAATTCATTCGGGCTTGTGTTTATCTTCCAGTGGGCGTTTCTGTCACTGGTACTGGTGCTGTTCATCCTCATTTGTATCTGTGTCCGGCTAGCAACCTTTGCTCACTTTATGTAAGTACGTCTTTCTGGGGGACAGGGAAGGCAAATAGACTAATAAACTCTCCTGTATCTCCAGATTTTCTGTCTACAATAAGAAATATATTTGTATATGCATTCTGTCATTTTTCATAGGAATATCATGCAACCGGGTATGTGATGAGTTGACATTGCGAGAAAGATCAATTTCCTGATTCAGAAATGTCTATAACACATTTTATATAGGCTAGGGGAACGAGGTTGCCAGGTAATGCGTTTTTGCAAGAAATAAAATGTAACTATTCTGAAGGAAACAACATATGCAACTTAAAACAAATACAGGTCGGTCGTGATATCTAGAACGCTCGGGGTCAGGGGTCACTTCTGACGTTCGATCCTAGGTCTGCTGGTACTCTCGGGGTCAGGGGTCACTTCTGATGTTTGATCCTAGGTCTTCTGGTACTCTCTGGGTCAGGGGTAACTTCTGACGTGTGATTCTATGTCTGCTGGTACTCTCGGGGTCAGGGGTCACTTCTGATGTTCGATCCTAGGTCTGCTGGTACTCTCGAGGTCAGGGGTCACTTCTGATGTTTAATCCTAGGTCTGCTGGTACTCTCGGGGTCAGGGGTCTCTTCTGATGTTTGATCCTAGGTCTTCTGGTACTCTCGGGGTCAGGGGTCACTTCTGATGTTCGATCCTAGGTCTTCTGGTACTCTCGGGGTCAGGGGTCACTTCTGACGTGTGATCCTATGTTTGCTGGTACTCTCGGGGTCAGGGGTCACTTCTGATGTTCGATCCTAGGTCTTCTGGTACTCTCGGGGTCAGGGGTCACTTCTGATGTTCGATCCTAGGTCTTCTGGTACTCTCGGGGTCAGGGGTCACTTCTGACGTGTGATCCTATGTCTGCTGGTACTCTCGGGGTCAGGGATCACTTCTGATGTTTGATCCTAGGTCTTCTGGTTCTCTCTGGGTCAGGGGTAACTTCTGACGTGTGATTCTATGTCTGCTGGTACACTCGGGGTCAGGGGTCACTTCTGATGTTTGATCCTAGGTCTTTTGGTACTCTCGTGGTCAGGGGTAACTTCTGATGTTTGATCCTAGGTCTGCTGGGACTCTCGGGGTCAGGGGTCACTTCTGATGTTTGATCCTAGGTCTTTTGGTACTCTCGTGGTCAGGGGTAACTTCTGATGTTTGATCCTAGGTCTGCTGGGACTCTCGGGGTCAGGGGTCACTTCTGATGTTTGATCCTAGGTCTTCTGGTACTCTCGGGGTCAGGGGTCACTACTGACGTGTGATTCTATGTCTGTTGGTACTCTCTGGGCCAGGGGTAACCTCTGACGAACCTCTTATCTGTGTCTTACAAATAGCATAGATGTTGTTTTATTACTAGAGCAACACATGGTAGGATTACAAACTGTATTGAAAGAATTTAACAAGAAATGAAAAAAGGGAAAATGAAACAAAGAAGGAAAATACCTTTTTTGAAGTCACCATTGATATTAAAAAGGTATATACGTTAAGTTCAGTCATGTTAAAAAGTTTATTTTCAGAAGAGGATCATTTAAGATCCTTTAAACTTGACTAAAATATAGAATAATAACAAAACATTGAATAAATCAAATGACAACAGTTCCAATTTCTATAGAATTTCGAACTTATAATTATCTAAAAGTTTTTGATCTTCACCCAATGCTTATCTAATCTGTTTCTAAAAGAATTAACTGTTGGTGCCGAGATTACTTGTTCTTGGAGATTGTTTTATATTTTGACTACGCGCAGAACAAAAAGGGTTTTCCTGATTTCTAGTTTACAATGCTGTGGAGTTAGCTTTTTCGAATGTCCTCTTTCCTCTGTCTTTGGACCTTGTCGTGCCAGCGTAATGTGTAAAGCTTGTTATATATTCGTTTCTATCCACCAGCAGATGATTTGTGTAAAGCTTGTTATGTATTTGTTTCAGTTCACCAACAGATGATTTGTGTAAAGGTTGTGATGTATTTGTTTCAGTCCACCAACTGATGATTTGTGTAAAGCTTGTTATGTATTTGTTTCAGTCCACCAACAGATGATTTGTGTAAAGCTTGTTATATATTTGTTTTTGTCCACCAACAGATGATTTGTGTAAAGCTTATTATGTATATATATAATATTTGTTTCAGTCCACCAACAGATGATGCCTGGACCGTAGTGTCTCCTAATGTAGCGCAGGCGATTGGTATCATGGCTTTCGGTAAGATAATATTTCCAGACAATGGCGAGATATGCATCAGTAACAGTTAAACATTGATGAGTTATTGTGTTAAGGGTATATGCTTCGTTATTATGTTACCAGTAAACGTTTCTTTATTGTGGTAAATGTATAGACTGCTTTCTAGATTATAGTTGCACGTATTTCATTTTCAGACGAATTTACAAACTAAGAAGCATGCGCAACATATTTATGACATCATTCAGGCAGATATTCCCAGCACTGTGTTGTAGCGCTCAAATCGATTCGGCAGGGATCAGACTGTGAACTGCTTCCCAAAGTACCAAAGCAAAACTAACACTAAAGATTTAACATAAATATAATAAGCTTCTTTTTTCATAAATGTATATACAATAAAGGGATTTGAACTCGCTATACAACAGGGATATTATCCACAGTGTTACTAGCATGATATTTGTTCTATTCAAAAAATGTAAATACTTTCTAAAAAAATCGTTTTCGTTTGGAATTCTTTTTTGAAAGTCATATTACGGTAGAATGCATCCTTAACGGTAACGCACGTGCTTGTCATTGCAGCGTACATGTGCCACCACAACACATTCCTGATACATGGTTCGCTGGAGAATCCGACCAATCAGAGATGGAGTTTTGTTACTCACGTCAGCATCTTTTTCTCCATGCTTATGCTCATCGTGCTCGGGATCATTGGTTATGTGTCCTTCACCGGACTAGTACAGGGTAAGGCCAACATAATGGCGTCAACATCAACTACAATAGCAAAGGTATAGGTAATTTGTTCATCAGCAGAATCAGGACCAAGTTGGTCAAAGAACTGTTAACTTAAATCTTCAAAACGTATTATTTTCAAACCATTTGATATTGTTCAAGTGTTGTTTTCCCGTAGGTAATCATTTGGTGAAACCGATCTCATGCACAAGTTCATTTTCTTTGTTCGAGCCCGATGTCTTGTTTCGGTGATAAATTAATAACAAATGTCAGTTTGATAATGAATCGGATTAAATTTTGGAAAGGCTGAAAGCTGATTACTATTTCACTGTGTACACTTTTCAGGTTTTCACAATCAATGACTGAGCATGAGAAGAGAACGGTTTCATGAACGCACGTCCCTGGTCCCGTATACATGAAACCGTTCTCATGCTTCAGCATAGGTTTTGTGCTCAAACATAATTTCCTGTTACTCGCTTAGGTCAGGGCAAACAGATTGAAACATTACATGCAAACATTGAATACAAGTATTCGGCTTTAAGCTTCTTCAAAGATTTTTCAAATTGACGACAAAATGAGATTTGTTTATTAACTTATAACGAAAATAAGAAATTCGAATCGAACAAAAAAGGCATGCTTCAGCACGAGAACGGTTTCATGAATACGGGCCCAGATTTGTATGGTTTATGCAATACATATCAATCGTTTTGAAAACGAGCTGGTATATCTTTTTTTCCAGTTCTACAACGTCAACATTTTTTTTTATATATCATTATATTCACCAGGAGTGATACAGAGCAGTATGCTTAAAGCTGACAGTGCAAGTTAAAAAAACTTTCAATTGAGATTTTAAAAAACACCTTTTTCTGGTTTTGAGAGCTTCCCCGTCTCACTGGGTATAAAAAGCGCATTTCTTGTCAAAACGGTTATTAAGTCGTGCTGCAGGGTAACGGTAAAGTTGACAGGCGTTTAAGTTTGGTGCCGCTCCTCTGTAACCTTCAAAGGACAGGAATCAGCCAAGCGATTGGTCAGTTCTTTCTATCGGAATCCAATTAAATAGCCAAACTGGATGCCTTCGACTTTGTCATGGCACATTCAAAGAGTCCAGACAACGTTAATGATGGCAAAACCGTAATTACGAGAACGGGTTTTCATGTGATGTGGTAATATTATTTGTTGTGTGGTATACAGGTGACCTCCTGGAGAATTACTGTCACGACGACGATCTGATGACCGTGGCCAGGTTTGCCTTTGCCTGTACTATCATGTTAACCTACCCAGTGGAGTGCTTCGTAACAAGGGAGGTAATGCACAACTATGTTTAGGTCTGTTTCCAATGTTAGAGTCATATGTCCTCACAGCCGTTAAATGTCTTTATAAAGACGGGTTTCGAAGGAGCTTCATCGCTTGAGGCCTGCGTAGTTATGGCATCACTATTAAAACAAATCTTTGTACCAGTATTGCAAGGAATTATTTTATGGCAAACTCATATACGTCATGTTTTAAGGGAAGATTATTTGATTTATTAAAGTTTACAATGGAAAAAATATAAATTATATGGATTATATAAATCACTCTTATTGAACCGGATGTTAGTGCGCGGTGGTCTTAATGTGGGAGCAAACCGGAGTACCTGGAGAAATAGACATAGGCCTAATGATGGAAAATGTCAAACTGCTCCCAAAATCAACGAATATACATTTAATTTTGCCTAATTGAAGCTACTTATTTATTTCCGTTTATTTTTACATTGTTTCAATTTAACTTGAGGTGCTTTGTATTTATTCAAATTTGTATATGATATGCAGGGCTCTCCGTAACGTGACTGTGTAGGGATAATCTAAGTTAATACATTTATTAACCTCCTTAAGACTTGACAAATATATATGAATATAATGTGACTTTAACGCAATTTATAATGACATTAGGTGCTGTCCAACGCCCTTTTCCCCACGATGAAGGATGAATTGCCGTTATGGCGTCATATAGGCATCACCGTTGGTGTGGCTATCATCACTGTTGTCGTCTCTATGGCAACCGATTGTCTTGGAATAGTATTTACTGTAAATGTAAGTATTTGCATACTTGACAACATTTGAACAAAGACAAAATTCGAAACGGTGATGCAAATGTATACCAAAAATACATGTTCATGGACAGAAATAGAGGTATATACATATGCCATCATTATTGCAAGAATTTAGGATAATCGTCTGCGAAGAAAATGTGTTTTACTGAAAACATAATCATAAATATATATATTATTTATTAAATTTTGACACATAATGTTTCGAAATTATTACGTACTTTAATTTGCGTTTCACTCAACACGATTCTCTTACGTGATGTATATATCGCACATCTCCAAAATAAATATAATAAGTTAACATAAGTAATCAATATTTTATATGTTGACGAGCTTATCCCCTATAGATTTGTATTTATGTGTGTAGGATAGGAAATACTTCAAACAGTGTATGGGACAAGGAAGTGATTGCAGCATGACAAGATGAGGTTGTCGAATTTTCGGAGCGACCCAATCCTTTGGAAAAAATACCCGAAACAATTACAATATATAAGAATAAATATGACCTCAATTAATACGTTGCTATTTATTTTTCATATGATATATATTTCATAAATAAACATGTCCCATATCCACGGATAATACATGTGGATTATTCATTATGTATTTTATTTTGTCACCAGGGTGTGCTCGTAGCCTGTCCCCTAGCGTTTATAATACCGCCTGTATGTTTGATGAAGTTGCGACAGGAACCTCTACTCAGCAAGAGCAACATTGTACCAATGATGATTGGTGTATTCGGATCACTAGTCGTGATTATTGGTGTTGTTATGGCAATTCTGAACCTCTCGGAAGGCATCCAGTGCAGTCACGGTGTTGAGATGGCCTATTGTAAAAATCATCAACCAACTAGTCCCACACCCTTTTCCAATTTTACTACACCTTCAGCTAATTTTTCTTTAACTCCCTTATCGTAATTATGTTTATTAATGTGCAATTTAAATGTGTTGTTTTATTCCTGTTATTAGCGTTCTTGTTATTAATGGTATTTACATATTTAACTTAATTTCGCTTTCTATTTTACATTCCTTAAACATGTGTAATATTAAAAGGTTAAACAAAGGGTGACAACTCTATGTTTCTTAACTGATTTCCATTCCGGGTTCAATGGTATTTCTAATGGATGAAAGTGTGAAAATATGCTCATCTTGTTACATAAGGGTATTGTTCTAAATTGTCAAATACACATCTGATAACTTCCCAATAGTCCTGTGTATGTGTGTTTATTGAAAGAACAATTTCAATTTTCCTGATATTATATTCTTCATAATGAGAATCTTCTCACGTGACTTCAAATTCTTACTGCTTGCTGGAAATATCATTCGAAACATTTCATCTTTTCTTACAAAAGTCTTTTCTGTATATTTATAGTTTATGATGGCAATGCGTTTTTTCTTTGTCCTTAAGGTGTTTAACATGTAGATCATGCCATTTGCGGCAGGTCACAGTATTTGTAAGCGCAGTAAGGAGTCGAACACCCGACTTCAGTTGGAGACCTATAAATGATTCGATTAAGCGCTTGGACTGTATCAAAGCAAACTAGGAATAAGACTAAATTTTAAATAATTTAAGATTCGGATAATCAGGATTTGGATAATTGACATTATTCTATATATAATTACACAGAAATGGTTCTTTGAGAGTAATGCTTTAATATTGTATCTAATGTTAAAAACAGGTCTTGAACATATCGCTGGCGTAAAATGAAAAAGAAAATTGCAATAATCAAAAATGGATGGTTACATTATAAGATTATCGAAGTTCAAATCACTTAAATCAATTACAGATTGAAATACATTGTGTTGATATGTTATATTTACTAATTTGATTGTAATGAAGCACAATTAAAATTTATAACTTTAAATCCATATCAGTAGACAAGCTTTGCTGATTATTACCACTAATAAGACTACTAAGTGCTCTGTTGTTATGTGTCAGCTTGATATGTGATAAAATATGAAATTAATTATATCATTTAATTTAAAAAAATGCCTCGATAGATAATACATATATATATATATTTGAATTAAAATAAAATGATATGAAATACATTTTATTCGTGTATGCTTGTTATTTATGTTATTTGAATGTTGTAAAACATTTGTTTAATCTTAATCACGGTAAATCTATATCAATGTTAGAGCAGTAATATATGGGTGACAGAATTCACTGATGGAAGATTGTTAATGTCAGTTATAGGTTTAGCTATTTAAAACATGTATATATCTAATGAAAAATAACTAAATATCACCTCTTCATCAAAGTGAAAAAAAGAAACTAAAATATGGCACTTTCTTTATATTTTTTCTATAAAATAGTGTTTTTGAACCGAAAACTGTAACAGGGAGTTGCAAAGAATAACATGAATGTCAAATACATAAGATCTATACAGACTCGGTATACAAATTTGAAGTTAAACTTAAAGCATACCTTCCATAGCTCACATTATGTCCTCGGAAATGGAGTTGTCTGGTGTGTTAGTCTCCCCGGAGTCTTGAAAACATCCTTCCATTTGCGCCAACAGCGATTTAAAAAGTATTATAATTATTGCCCATAAATTTCGGCTCCCTTGTCGACAAAGGTCATACAATGTGGCATAGATCACAGCATATTAACTGTTTGATGGAAATAATGCTGTTTAGTTAGTGGATGTCATCAGTTGTGTCTGGGTGGTCGACCTTACACCTCCCAGTTACACTGCACTCAAACTGCACTGACATTGATTGGATGTAGAAGTGGCATCACCTGTAGTGTTGATAACTACATGTATTAATTATTGGAAATACCAGACAATACGATGTTTGAGGTGCTGTCTTTGTCTTCCGAGAAATTGCCTAAGACTTGACGCGCGTGTACTTCCAGTTAATATCCCAATATGATAATGTATGCTGTCTCGATCACTTACTCTCTGAACTGTTATCTGTGATAATTTGGATAAGTTTATTAATAAATAACATATTATAGCTGTTTTAATAATATTTTGTATAACATGATTGATCCTTGCTACGTAACCTGTGCTTTTATACCATTTAACTGTGGGGTTTTTTAACGTATCAATGTAATTGTGATAAATGACACTCAAATAAACAATATTGACTTTTATGAGTACACAGAAGAAGGAATAATCTAAAGTTCGCGACTCAGAAGGGATTGCATTATCAAATATATATCCATGCATTTACTGACATTCGACATAGGTAATACATGTTCTAATAAGTCACAATGCAGTTACATTGTGATCTATTCTTATAGGACAATAACTCGTTTAATCTATGTAACACGTTTTGTATGCTGATACGTTTATATAATCTTATCGCTATTCGTGTTTTATAAATTTGACTTGACCTAGAAGACGACTTTCGTCGATGAAGCAGCAGACGCTTACCCTTTCGGAACATCTGGTCTTATTATCCATAATTTTTTTAAGGATCTTTATATTAACCTTTAATTTGTTCATAGTTTGCCCTGGTTTAAACGATATTGAGTTCGAAAGAGGTTTTCGTTGACTCTTTGATATTCACTTGTTGATTTTCGGATGTTAATGATTAAAGGGAACATGTACGTGTGTTTTGTTTTCAAATTAGGACTTAAATAATAGCTATCGCTGATGTTCTGTATTTTCAATTGATGTCGACTTATATATCTTGTTGTAAAAATTTCAAGATTTATTTTATATACAAAAGCTGAAATAGTATACAGTACTAGAACAAGACTATAATGTTATATACAGAAAAACAGATGCTCCTTAGTATGGACTCAAACCAGGCATGAGCTAATTTCCATTGGTATTTGTGCTCTTATATCTAAAAGCTCGTTTTCACCTGTAGCAACGAGTCTATACGATAGCAAGACAGAACTTAAGTGACAAACGTCCTTAACAACCAATTAACACAGTGATCGGATTTATTTTACAAATGGTAAAGGCTACATCCTTAACATCCACTTATCTTCAATCATCATTTAACGTGAATCAAAGGGATTGAGCTTTACTGTGAAATCCATGGCTTCACAGCATCTTGTAAATGTCTTGAATTTGACCCGTATTTACACATGTAGCTGTGAAATGGTATCTTTGCTTTGATTCACTGTCATACTTAAATCTGTCGGTCACATGGTAAGTATTTCTGTCACGATATATATGGGTACAGATTGTTTATCCCCATACTAAGGTGATCGCCACCAATAACAAGTTTTCGTCGTAATTGATACATGAAATTACATAGATGATTGTCAAGCGTCTTCATGACTGTTTCAAAAACACAAATCATTACTGACGGGAACCAATATTTTAACAGATAAATAGCCAAATTAAAAAAAAACACCAACAGTTTCCTGACTTATCTCTGAAGTTAGCTAAATTTGAATGTTTTTGAGAATATTTTTTTTATTTAAACCCGCTTTTAAACTTTTACTCTGAAATGAGCTGAATATGTTTCATTATGTATACTTGTACAGTACAATACTTTAATAATTTTGCATGATGTTATTTTGAAACATGATAGTTTCATTTATACAATCTATGTATCAAAAGTACTTTTTTTCATCTATTAGACGCTTTACTGATGACTAATTTTGCATACTTTATCATATACATGTTTTACTCCACAACTGTTACACTTATGCAGCAAACATTGATTTGAATATACAACATATGAAAAATGACAAAAACGATCGATTGAAAATGGTTGAAAGGATTGTTTTCCTTTATTTTGTATTTCAGACAATAACAGCTAACGATAACAATGAGAACAAAGCTGATAGGTACATGTAGTATAAGTGGTAGACTTCTACAAACCTTTAATCTGGCATGTAAATTTACATATATACTCATAAAACATGTAGACATGTCGCAGAGGCTGCGGTTGCCAAATTGTTAAGGCGTCTGACATTCTGCTACTAGTAGCTCTTCACCACTGGGTAGCAGGTTTGAGGCTTACGTGGGGCTGTCGCCAGGAACTGAGCGTAGATCGGTGGTTTTTCTTCGGGAAATCCGGCTTTCCTTTATCACCAAAACCTGGCACGTCCTTAAATGACGTAAAACATGAGCAAACCAAACGAAAGATATGTTGCTTTAAACCTAACAGCAACAAACAACGCTCTAGGTAGATTTGATTCCAGCACAAATTGTAAAATGATCCAAATACAACATGGTAATCTTTGTGATGAACCTTTTGCTTCTTTAAGATTATATTTTTAATTGTTTAATGCCTGCTACATTACAAACAATTAAGAAGTGTCGATACGTTAATTAAAGGTTTTGACAACAGATTGTATATTGTACATGTAGGTATCATGACATTAGGGTAATAAACTAAATACACATACCATTATTGCCAAAGGTTTAATTCCCTTAATGTAACACCGAGGATTGCATTCCCTTAAAAAATAATAGTGTTTAGTTCCCTAAATATAACCCTAAGGGTTTAATATCCTTTTTATATCCCTGGGGTTGAATTTTCCGATTTTCTACATAAAAGCATGCTTTTTATTCCTGTCACACCTTTCCAACTAATGATGTTGAATCTATCCAATAAAAAATCAAAAGAAAATCAAATACAATTGAAGGATTTGCATTTACAACATGAGCAAACCAAATCAACAACATTTCACACCAGTAACTATTTTATAGTAACTAACATGTATATAACAATACAACCTTCATGTCTACCATCAGTAACTTTACACAGGTATAACCTTTAATTCAACAACAAATAGCAGAAAAAGTGCAAAAGAGATTAAGTCTGAATAAAGGTAGGTAATTGCACGCTTATATCAATTATTGTCTATGGAATAGTGCCATTTCAGGTGGCAATTCCGATTTGTAAATTGTATAACTTGTATAAAATAGGAATTTAAACTAGAAACAAATCGGATAGTCAACGAATCAGCTATGATTTCAAAATTGTTAAAGATATAATACATCAAGCTTTTAAAATAAAATAAATAAATAAACAACATTTGATATAGCGCCCTATCTAGCTGACATAAGCCACTCTAAATCGCTTTACAGTACATGGATATACAATTTTATGCAGTCAATACAATAACCTATATATTAATCAATACAATATTGAGGAATTCGCAGGATCTGCCTTATCAGGCGCTAACTACTAGTCCTATGCCACCTGGCTAATATCTTATGTGTGTACGCCTGCGTGTGCTGGATATGTATTTTGTTTAACACAACATAGGCGAAATAAGAGTAGTCTTTCTCCGGAAAACAACAGAAGCTGTTGAAACAAGAAAAGCTCCAGAAGAGTAAGCCCTTCTCCAGAAAACAACAGAAGCTTTTGAAACAAGAAATGCTCCAGAAGAGTAGCTTTTCTCCAGAAAACAACAGAAGCTTTTGAAACAAGAAATGCTCCAGAAGAGTAGCTTTTCTCCAGAAAACAACAGGCTGAGGAGCTGGTGAAACAACATATATTACAGAAGAGTAAGCGCTTCTTTTTCCATAAAACAGGAGCTGTGAAGACAACCTACGCTCTAAAAGAGAAAGCAATTCTCCCTCCTCTCCAGGAAACCCTTATAGCATGTATGAAACATGTGACCGATTGCACTCTGACATCACCCTTAAGAGTTATATTTTTCTTAATTCTAAGTAGGAAGTGTATAACAACATATCGTTTGAGTTAAAGAAATGCCCAATATCTGGTCGACTGTCATTCTGAATCACCTTTATATATCCAATATATACCACCAAAACACGCACATGGCAACTGACAGTGACTCACAGACAGGAGCACTTATTAGATAATCTGTCATGAATCTTACGAAGGCTGTTCAGTTTTTTGTATACATGTTTTTCGGTATATCATGCTTTAACGGCTTATATTGAATATTTTTTTCTTGGTTAATTCGTACGTGTTCCTTATCTAGAAAACTGCTTAATTTATTGTTGCATTCGCAATGTCAGTGCTGATTTTAAAACAATACCGTGAAGAAAATGTCTGCGCTTTGACCTCAAATCTACACATTAAAAACGATTTACATAACCCTTAAT